AAACACTGGATGGTTGTAGTATTAGATGAAATGCATAATTTTAACATTTTAAAACCATGTGCTAGAAACAAAAAACAACTGTTCGTGACTCAGACTGACGTTTTAGTAGTTTCATAGCAGCAATCAAAAACACTGAGGCAATCCCTTTGCCTTTATACATATTTTTAGATGCATACTAATTGTATATTTATGGTCATTGGCAGCAATGCACACATGCAGAATACAAAGATATGTACAAATGTGAACTATACTCTGTGTGTGTTCAGACAAAATGCAAAGCAAGTTTTCCTGGTGGCTTAACTAGATAAAAACACTCAACTGGGGGAGTAAGGCTGCATGAAAGTGGCAACATTGTGCCCACAAAAGTTAAAAATGTTCTTTGCAAAAAAAAAAAAAAAGTGTGATCATGTTGCCACCCCAAGCCACAGTGGAGTGATGCCATTTTAATTTTCTAAAAATCTTATAAATACATATTTTGGGTCTCAGGCAAAGCTGTCCTGTCACTTGTACCTAACCAATAAGTGATGGTTTGTTTGAAGAATATGGTTTTGAGAGGATGTATTTTACACCAAGATATGGTATTTTCACAACCTTAACTATTTTTGTTGTCTATCTTAAACAAGATTGTCAGATTTAGTGAATAAATGAGTGATGTGTATGTGGGGGACACAGAGACTAACAATTTTTTACCACACATTTAAAGGCAAGACAATGGTGTGACACCAAAGCATTCTTTGTGTTTTCAAGTTAAAAAAAAGGGTTGCATTGTGGTTTAAACTAGAGCTACAACAATGCATGTTTACTGGGAGACATTCACGCCCAATGATCTACATATTTGAACTGCTAAATGTCAGCACAAAAACTGTTGCACCCAAGTCTCGTCATGAAAGGCTGTTAATTAGAGAAGCATTTTAAAAACAACTCAAAGCAGTTATTTTGGTTTATGATACCAGACCTGGGTGGCACGGTGATGCAGTTGGTAGAGCTGTTGCCTCTCAGTGGGAAGGTCACCGGATCGAATCCTGGCCGAGGGCCTTTCTGGGTGGAGTTTGCATGTTCTCTCCGTGCATGCGTGGGTTTTCTCCGGGTACTCCGATTTCCTCCCACAGACAAAAACATGCATGTTAGGCTGATTGGCAACTCTAAATTGTCCCTAGGTGTGAGTGAGACAGTGAATCGTTGTTTGTTTGTTTCATTTGTCTCTTATGTGTCCTTGTGATGGACCGGAGACCTGTCCAGAGTGTCGCCCGCGTCTCGCACAGCGACGGCTGGACATGTGCGCAAGTGACCCCTGTGACCCGAAAAGGAAGAAGCAGGTAAAAATAATGGATGGATACCAGACCTCATTGCAAGTAAATGAAGAAGAAACACACAATTAACCAACAGGGCAGAGAATCACCACCATAGACATTCAAGTCAAATTAAAGGAAAATAATAAAAAAAAAAACTTTTGGTTTTAATAGTTTTATTCTCGCACAGTGGTAGCTGCATATGTGCCAGTGACCCCCGTGACCCAAAAAGGAAGAAGCGGGTAAAAGATAATGGATGAATGGTTTATTCTTCTACTCACATACTGTATGTACTTCTACTGTGCACGAGTTGTAAACAATGAGACTAACTTCTTGAGCTTGACCTTAGTAAACAATTTGCTGCCATGGTTACTGAATGTTCATCTCTTTTATTCCTTACCATGACATACTGTGCACAACATTATATTTTTCTATGTTCAAGTGCACTATAACCCTGCTTATGTTGCCATAGTTGTACAGTAGTATATGCAGTTAATTACAGTTAACATGCTTTGTGTAAAATATGCTAATTGTCTGAAATAATTTACCTTAGCTTTACTGGGTTGAATTGTTCTGAAAAATATTTCGGATGTGCTGTGTGTTTTATTGACAGAAAGGAATTAGGAAATCAAACAATCGTCAGATTTCTTGGTTAAATTACCATAGCGGTCAACGTTTCTTTGTTAATAAAACTCTGCCTTCATGTCTACTCAGAATGTGTTTGGAATACAAACTTGTCTAAGCAAAATTAGGTTTGTTTATTGAAGTAAGAGCTATGCAAAATGTTGTGGATTTACTGGTTCATCTATATTCCACTATATTCATAATGATGAGGTGTGGATCATGACTAAAATAAAAATATTTTGAGTACAAGAAAGAGGACATAAATAGGTTCTTTCAACCATGAAGGGAAGTAAAGCTGCTGGTTCCAGCATCTGGTTGGGATCCCTTTTGGGTTTTTTCTCTGGAGTTCTTTTAGGCACATTTTACTGAAAGGCGTCTCCGTGGCAAACCTCGCTGGAGGGGTTATGTATTCTCTCTGGCCTGCAAACACCTTTGGGTTGATTTCTCACGGGGAACAGGAGAGAAAACCGTCTCTTGGATCTGTTGCCACTGCAATCAGAACATAGATGAGCAGAAAAGTGTTTGTATGCATTGAAATTGTTTATATATATATATATATATATATATATTTTTTTTTTTTTTTTTGAAGGATTTTAAACTTTGCAGCAAAATATTTGTTTAAATTTAGATAAGAGTTAAGTCTTAGAAGACCAAATGACAAGATAAATGTAAATTGAACCTGCGTTGGCCTTTTTATATTCACAGTTTTTAGAAATTTAAAGTGGCATAGAAGTAAATTCTGGAGGTATGCTTTTCTGAGCATTTTTTTCTTATCATTATGTACAAAGTAAGAAACAATTAGAAAAAGTCTGGGTGGCAGACATAATAAAAAAATGTATCAAATTTTTTTTTTTTAAATTAGTCTGAGCGTGAGCTGTAGCATAAATATTCTGTACAAAGGCACACTTTACTCAGTCTGTGCAGTGTTACAGCTCATTACTGGTGCACTGGCTGTGCACAGAAGCATACAAACACAGAGAGGGGAAAAGAAACCAGGAAAATGTTTGCTTTGCATTCTGTCTGAGCTTTAGTGGTTTTTACCCCCCAACCTGAGTTCAATAACCTCATTTGTTTCAGACGTTCAATTGGAGTCCATTGCTTTCCAGCTGGTCTCTGAGAGGGCGGAGGTGCTATATCTGGATGAGTACAAACACAGACAAATAAAGGAAAACCAGACAGGAATAGATCCTGTTGTGTTCTGAGGAGATAAAAATCACATTGACATCATGTACTCAGGGCATACACATGGAACATTTATTGCTGTGAAGTCAGGCTTAACCTTTGATGCCATATTCATTGACACAAGGATTTGTCTTCGAATGATAGGACGACATATCTTTGAAGCTAAAACAGCCCTTGGATGCTTCGTGGTTTTCCTCTTTGACCTTAAAACCTCAGGTATCCTCATTGACAGACAAAGACACTTCAGGAATAGGCAATCACAACACCTGAAGTTATAAACACACACGGCACACATACGCATACACACATTCTCTCATTGATACCAAATACCAAGTAAACAAACATAGTCATCAAAGTAATTTTGCATTAAAAGAGGTCAAACCCTCAGACTTTCTCACCCCAATTCGTGCTTTTTAAAACAATTTTAAAGCAACACTATGATCCAGAAAATAAAAATTACAACAGTTTGGCTCTAAAAATCAAGCTATAGCATGAGCATCTCCTTTTAGGATGAAGGAATTATTTCAATGGCAGGTGCAAAATAAGTTTCCAATAAATGATGCAGAGTTTTGCTCAACATTAACTTTTGATCTCAAACAATAAGTTGTGAAAGGCTTGCTACAACATACTGTAAATGTGCATGAAGAGATGGATCAGAGAAGATGAGTGCATTAAGGTGTCATTTTAAGAATACTGTATTGCAATCCTAGAACCATGCTTTAAGGAACACTAAGGTGGCCATGAGCGATATGTTGTAGCGTAACTCTCAAATTAAAGCTTTCATAGAGATGGTGCATGCTGCTCATGGGTATCCAAGCAAGAATGTCCCCGTGATATCCCCAGTGATTTATGACTGTCCACATCTCTGGTTGTCCACAGACTGGTAACGTCACGAAAAACAAACAATCAAACAAAAAAAGTCCAAGAAAAACAAGTGTTCCCACAGAGAAATGTGCCGCAGGGAACCATCACTCCAGCACACAAGTTTCTTCGAAATTTTTTGCTTTGTTGCTTTGCACACTGTCTTTACCTTTAAAAAATGTTATAAAACTGGAAGCCACTTGCAGACAAAAAGTCCTAGACGACAAGTCGAAGACACTGCATGGGTTGAGTTAAATCAGGACAAACTAATGCAACACTTGCACGTGCCTATTCTTTTTTCTACAAAAATAGTTGGAATAGGAATCACATGGTTATCACCCAACATTGACATCTTGATACACATCTGTATATAGATAAAAAAAAAACATGGTTAAATGCAATCCCATCATGCAGTCAAGTTCTTTTGCAATAGTTGTTTATTCCATTTCATCAGAAATCCTTAAAGATGGTGATTGGAAGTGCAGTCAGAAGTGTGCTTGAAGTCTCACTGTTTGTGAGTCGTGTTTCAGTGCACAAAAAAATTGTTGCCCCGAGCCCTCTGGCCTAATTTATTACACTCCATTCAACGTACCTGTCTTTCACACCTATTTCTTCAAGTTCATGAGTGAAAGATGCTGGAGACAGAAAGAAAAATAACCAATTTCATGAATCACTCCATGCACAGTTATACCTCCACCGTCTCTCAATTTATTTTCATTTTCCGCTGCCAATGAAGTTGACAGACACACAATGCTGATGCCTATCTTCAGGTTCAGAAACACTGAGGTATGGTGCAGTGATGAGAATGATTTAATTCATGCCTTGGATACCTGAGGCAGTGCTCGCACACACAAATGCAGACTGTGGACATACATTCCTGAATTCTGCTCCACCTCATGCTTTTTACTCCAGTCTCAGCAGAAGGTCCTTTGCAAGAGCGAGTGGGACCTGTTGATTCGGTCTGCCAGAACAGATGGAAATTAGATCCACTTTCTGCTTTTCAAGAAAAGCCCACATTTTTCTTTTCGAGTCTTCCTTCCGCCCTGATGTACTGTATTCCATCACCATAGGCTATTTCCTTACTAACCTTGTACCATGCCTTTGAGAGACTGACAAATTATAAAAGCCCCTCCTGGCATAGATAGATAATTATGTTGACTTTTCTTGATTTTATTTTTTGTAGTTTCAGCTTCATGGAACCTGTGCAGTCAGAGAAAATTAAACTCTCCTGGTGCTTCTTTAAGCTTCTTTGTATCCTCTTCTACTGACTTTCTGGTATCACAAAACCTCCTGGTTTTCCAGTGTGAACAGAACCTCTCTCATTGTCCTCCAGAACTACGAGGAAGAAGGGTCTTTCCGCTGCCCCTCGGCCTTAACTATTATGGCCAGCCCCTCATCCTTAACCAAAACCAAGCCCATTATCCAAGATAGCAAAGATAAAAAATAAAGAACTTGTCAGAAATGTTTATAAAGGGGCTAAAATGGAAAGATGAGGGTTTGGTTCTGAAATACTGGGCATCACATGTTATTAAACCTCTGTCTCACTGATGAAGCAGAGAGAGTAAGAGGAACAGCAATGGTTTTTAGTTCCAAGAAATGGAAAGACAAAGAGTAAACAGTAAGTTTCATCTAGTTTTTCGACAAGACCCTACTGTTGTTTGGCTTGAGCTCTTCCCTTTCAAACCATGCTCTCCATCTTCATTTTTCTCTCTTCCTTCTCTTCTGGTATTTAATAATACTCCTGTCCAAGGGTTGGCCATGAAGCCCTGGGGGTCCATAAGCTCCAGGCCTAAAATCTCTCTACGACCCTCCCTTCCCCGGGAAGACAGCAGCATCCCCCCTTTGTCAAGGCTACCTGTGCTGTTACACTTTTTTACTGGCACTCCAAGGCACACAAGGGAGCTGGGCAACAGCAGTGATGTCAGGGACAAGCTGCTCATTGTCTCTGACAAGTGTTCACTGTTACCCGCTTGACTGGAGCCACAACCACCGATAGATGATCCAATGCCTATGCCCAAGTCCTCATCTGAAGGGTCAATAGAGTCATCACGGTTGTAGCCTGGGCTAGTGCTGCCTCGCCCGCTGCTCTGGCTCCGCTGGTGACCCCTGGTGGCCAGAAGGGTCACAGCAGACTGGGGGTTTGGCCTTGGCTTTTGGGTCTGAACCGAAGACGAAATGTTCATTCCATCATCAGGCTGCAAGATAGGGGATAAAAGTGATAAGGAAGCTGTTGGCAAATCCAAGTTTTGTGGTGGAGAGACACTGAAGCTCAGTCCTTCTTCCAGAGTGGTCTGAAGGCTGCCTTCAGAGCTGCCAGTAGCAAGTGATGAGTCACTGTGAGATGGATACTGCAGAGAAGAAATTTTAGAGAATGAACATTAGTACTTATGCATACATAGTAAGTAATTTCAATTTTTTATTTTACGAAAGGTGCAGCAGCTTCACTACAAAGAACATTACAAAGACATCATAAATTTCTTTATCCCCCAAAAATGTCTTGATATTTTCTTTGTGTTACTCCAGTAAACAAGAATCACCACTCTACTCCACTTTTGGTGTATGTTCTCTCTTTGTTACCTGCGCACAAAGCATCTTTCTGTGAGCTCCATGGGAGCGGAATGAGGCCCAGGAGGATGGGGAGGTCAGTCTAAGGCTCCTTGTCAAACGCAGGCTCCTACTGCGGGAAGGTATCGAGATGGCTGCACCTGAAGAGTGGAAGAACTCTGTAGGCAGATGGAAGAGGGTAGAAATACCACTGGCTCCTCCTCCTCCATCTTCTTCCTTATATCTTTCCTTACTGTTGATGCTGGAAACCCCACCATCTGGAGAGAACCAACACGCTTAGTTGCTCGGGTGTTTAGTCATACCTTCTTTTTCTTCAATGGCTGGCTTATCACCTATAGCAGTCTGCTGAATTCATCTGTTCTTATGTGCAAGTTGTTAACTTTTCAGAGTGCAGGAGAACTTAAGACTTGAAGCAAAATGCTGGGAGTTAATTGCTACTGCAGGCAACCCATACATAATGAACTACAGCATCATCTACATCATATTATGGTCTGTTGTTTCAGGTCAAAGGTACGGCCTCTTTCAGTTAAGGTATAATCTTAAAGTACTTTAGTGGTATTAGACTTTGAATCTTTGGGTACTCTTAAAAATGATTTTTTTCCTTATGTCTGATCCTGGTTTCTTTTTTTAAACACTGTTTAAATCCTTAAATTGATTGATTTACATCAATATAACATTTATGTATATAAATCTGTATATAAGTCATGCACTCTTCTGGTTTTTCTATATTGTTTTTTTTTTTATTTACTTTTGACTTTGGATTTTAATTCAGCTCAGATTTTCAGTCTATAACTCCTTTTTTTTACCACTTGTGTCTGAGATTTTTATTCTGCTCCCTCAATTTGAAAACCCTTCAAGTGCTTCTTGCAGTTCCACTTGTGATGATTGCTACATTATGAAAAAGAAATTGACCACCCTTAAGTAAATGTGGTTAAAAAAATTAGGTTTTCTGTAATATTTCTAGCTTAGCTTGTATTTTATTAATAAAATCATGGTGTACTTTGTACAGCCATTTATAAAAGCTTTTATTCAAGTGTTTGTAACTTTCCACTTGACTTTCACGACCAGCACTTTCAGAGTGGCAAGAATCCACAAGCAGATTATTTCCTCAAATCAGTTTTGGTCATTTCTGTGCTAACACACATCCACCATTCATAATGTCTTTTGAAAATGAGCCTTGAGTGGATTTACGAACCAGGGCTGCACTGAGGTGAGCACTTATGCTGTTGGTATGTTTGCATTTCCACCTCTTGCAGCACAGTCTCCATCTCAGTACCAGTGCTAAGGACTTTGCTTTGCAGGCTCGGCCCCTGCACCTGAACCTGCCCTGCTGTCTGAGTCTGGTGACCTCCATTATGGTGCTCTTCTACCCCAGCATCTTCAGAGCTTTCACTACTGCACCTTCCCTGAAAGAGAAAACAAAACCTGACAATAGAAAGGTTTGCAAAAAAAAAAAAAAGTAATATATTTAACTTTATTTTGGTATATGGAATGATTGAACATAAAAAATCCAATGAAAAAGATTACATGAATAAGATGACCATTCACAGAGCCTTAAATTTGGCCATTAAATGAAAATATCTTCTCCACCGAGAAAAGTAATAACTCACATTTTACATTTAGGGAACAATTCTTGGTTGAAAGTAAATGTAAAATTAAATGGGAACAGAAAAATCCCTTTGGGATCTTCAAAAATGACCAGATTTATATAATTTTGCTGGCTTTTCATTGTAGTCATACCAAAAGTTTGAAAACTAAATCTTAGCAGTTATTGTCATTTTAATGTTAGAGAGCTTGAAGTGGGCAGGAGGTGGTGCACAGTAAATGTATGCTTTAGTTCATTTAGCCACACGGGAGACCACTCTCATTTTTGCAACCTCAGCAGTTCCTGCCTGCCATCAGGCAGTTTGTTTGTTACCTTAGAGGAGAATTTACAGAGTTTCTTTAATTTACAGGACACTTGAGCTAAGCTCTCATTTTTAACTAAAGTGTACTGTCAAGACTCTTCCAGAAGGGAAAAAATAAAAATAAAATTCAACACTGTGTGACTGGAAACACCCTCATGTTTTCAAAACCTCAACTTTGTTTGACTAGTAAAACCTTTTCTCGTCTTGTATCTGTTCTTTACCCTTCCCCTTGCTATTCTCTTTAATAAAAGTTCTGATTTACAGCCACTTTCGGTGAGTTCTCAGGTTAAGACAGCCTGAAGAGAACCAAGAAGCTGTTAGAAAGATGAATTATATGGGGGTGAAGATAGGAAGGCTAAAGGAAAGAACAGATCAGGTGTGTAATAATCAGAGGGCTAACAAAGAGAGGGTCGAATGAAGTGGATACGTTTTAAAGGAAGAGAGACTGAGTTGATGATAGCAGGGCTCGGGAGCCAAAAGGACAGTAACTGAGGAAAGCAGGGTGTAGAGATTTACTCATGAAGTGCTTTTATAGATACTGTGGGTTCTTTTAAAGGCAAAATATTACCATGATGCTGATGAAGAAACCTTAGGAACATAAAGTTTATACTGTATCTGTAAAGGACACAACAGCTTACATCATGCCCACACTTCTGGAATCACATGATTTGTTTTTATCCCCCCTCTCTGTTCATACACACCTTTCCCTCCTGGGACAACAGCTGATAGATTGTATGTTCGTCCAGGCTGAGGTCATCTGGCAACGCAGGGGACGAGGATTTGTCTGAGATTTGCTCCGACTTCAGCGACGCTTGCTCAATCTCTGCCATTCTGATCTGCTGCAAAAAGTTTGCTTCATTTATTAGTATAAAGACACAAGAATGTGGCGAGACAACTCTTTGGCATTAATTATCACTGCTTACTGTGAGGACAAAAAGCCTTAATTTGAGTGTTTCTTTGTATTTAAAATTGTAAATGCCTAAAGAAGCTGCAACTACCCATAGTCTTCCTTGATTTCTTTGTTTGAGTATTTTTTCATATAGACTGGCACAAAACACACAAACAAGGTAGATTAAACCTATAATCTTGACCAATCTGAGATAAAGTTTGTCAGTTGTTAACAATTCAAAGTGATCTTAAAGGGAAATTTCATTTCTTTTAAAGTGTTCTGAAGTTCTGAGTTTTGTGGAAGTGTCAAGCAATTAATATCTTACCTGTTGCAGATAGTTCTGTGAACAACCTCAGGTTAGTGAATTAATTCTGACAAGAGTTGTGAGTTAAGGGTTGAGACCAAAGTCAGTTGCATCTATCATAAAACAACTCTAATCTAAAAAATAATAATTGCAGTTTACGTCATAAATTAGATAAACATTTATACCGATGTCAGTTTCACATTGCCTGGTTATTTACCAAGAGATCCAAGATTATCAAATAACAGCTGTTTCAAAAAGCTCCAGCACTTCTGTTGAAAACTGGGGGCACTTCTAAAAAAAAAAAAAAAAAAAAAAAAAAATCACAATATTTCTGCTAGAAATACCATGAAATGTAAAACTGACAGCATGCTAAACGTCTATAAAAGGGTGCTTGCATAAACTGCTATAACACATTTGAGATTAAAGTTATTTAACTGGCAATGACCCAGTTTGGTTTTAGCTGTGCTTGGATCACCATTAGCTCTTCTGTCCAGTCAGAATGAAACTCAAGTTCTTCAGAATGAGTTTTTTTCGAAGAGCTATCTACAGCAGGTATTAACGTTAAAGAATATATGTTATTTTATTAATAAACTGTTGAAAACCTTCCACAAAATCCTGAATCAAAAGGATCTGGATTATTAATTTACTGCAGGAATACGTGAAGGAAAAGTATTATTTATAATTAGCTACAGAACAAATGTTTTACACAGATTTATTTTATAATTATAAAGCATTTTGTGTTTTACAATTAGTACATTTGCGCAATTTTTTGTGTGTATTCATTGGAATCTCAGCATGTGTAATAAAGATGGTGCACAGGACTAAATATATCTAAATCAGTACCGTAACTCCCACAGTGTACTCATCAAAAACACAAAATGTGATATTCCAATTGTGTTTCTCTCCAACGGGTTGCAAAACTGGCTGCAAGCAGTTTTGTTTGATTTTGCACATTTTGCTGTAGCACTCCATTATTTTTGGCAGCATTTCAAACGATACAAATTTTGAGTTCAAGTTTGAATGCACAATGACATATTTCAGTAACATTTCTTCAAAGACCCAAAATAATAAACGGCCAGGGAACGAAGAATTAAACGGGGTATTTAAAGAGAGCCAAGTGAAAATCAATGAACTGAGGCCGGCTAGACATGGATTAACACATGCCGATAGGCGAAAAAAACAAAGCGCTTCATAAAGAAAGATTAATAGCAGATATGAGCCAGTTAATCACCACAGCCACAGGTCCCAAGGAGCAAAACAGAAGTGATGAAGCAAAGCAAAGAAGCAAAGCAGAAGCACAGCAATGCAACTCATTAGTTCAAAAAATGCTTCCAGTTTCACAGTTTTGGGCCATATACCACCCCTTACTAACATTACTGTGTGACTTCACCACATTTTCTACTTTCATTCACAGAGGTGGTCCATAAATACCCTCAGCAAGGGCTCCTTTATTTCATCAGCAGGTGTTTTTATCGACAGGTAATGGAAACTACAGCGTCCATTTTCCTTTTCTGCCTGTACCTTCAGAGACAATATAAAGCACAATAGGTGCAGGAAGATTTTGCTACCAAGGTAACAGTAGAAATACTGACGATTTCACTAAAAAGACAGGGTTACTTGGGAAAGAATGAACTGAAAGTGTTCACTGCAGCAGAAAAACTGTGAAGAAAAGCCATTGTTCTGTTCAGTACTGATGGGCGGGGACAGAAAAGAAAACATGACTGACTAATATCTTTCCAGACCACAGCACATTAGTCATGCTAGTCACCGTTTAGTGTTTATAACATGGTGTATGCTGTAATTCTGGTGCACCAGTACTTAAATATCGCAGAAGTCAAATGATTTTACACTTGAGAAATTACTGATAAGAAGAACGTTGTGCTAAATACCCTGAGTTTAATTATGCAACAAAACATCCTCGTGCAGATAGTGCAGCATGGAGCAACACTGCAAGCGGACACACGTTTTATTGTGGGGATTAAACTCGTGCAGAAGCGTCTGTTTACTGCAGAGGTGTTTCAGCAGCGCTCGCCTTCCAGAAATCCATGCGTTTTATGAAGTGACTGGAGACTTGACATGTTTCAATGTTGCTGTTTTTATGCAGAGTGCTACAAAAATTACCAACGCATATATTTACTGCCACAGTGTTAATACGAGCTAAATTCTTTTCCATTGGGATGCAATTTGAATGCTATTTTTAAAAGCTTACAGCTGCACCAGTCAATAAACATGAGCCACACCAGATCTAAAGAGCTGCAGCAGGGGGTCTGAAACAGACTGATTTGTAATTGTGATGGCAGTTATTAAAATGTTATTTAACACAACTCACCTTGACAACAACAAGATTGTTCGCCCCAGGTGTCAGCATGCTAAAAAGGTATATATGAATGTACAATAATAAACCAGGCTGTTTTCTGCTCCAGATCCCCACATGCAGACCACGAAATTGAACATAATACAGATTATTTTGAGCTGTATGAAATGGTGCAATTTGAAAGAGTTTACTTCAGTTTCCCAAAAGAAATGCTGACACGTGGGTCCACACTCGATGTAAACAAAGCGATTGGCTGAATTTGCTGGAGATTTATCTCCATACTTTACTAGTTTATTCTGAGTGTAAATTTGTACCAATGCATTAAAATTGACTTTTTAATCCCAAACAGCTCTTCCATGGCCATCTTCATTGTTGATCGATTTTCACTGTTTCAGCTGTTTCTGTAGGTGATTAGCAGCCGTTCATAAATTTTGCTTACAAGTTTTTAATTCTGGGGTATAATTGCTGATATGAAAAGAACATGTGCAGATTTTGTGTCTTTATGACCATTTTGGTCCAGTGTTCATGATGTTGCAGTGAGTACTCTCTAAAGCAAATGTTAGTCTGATCCTGGTTTGTGTTTTTTTCATGAACAAATAAGGCAGTTTTAGTGGGATGCTAAAGTTTAGACAGCGTTAGGTAACATCAACTCATCACTCGGTGACAGATGAATTATAAGGATCAACACGTCTCTGTGACCAGTTTTGATCATACTGTTCAAAACATTCCCGATTCCCTTACTTTTCATAGTGTGAACGTTTATGAAGCATTCACACTATTGTCATCCATTTTTCTTCTGTACATTTTTCAGCATCTTTCTTGTTCCAATATTTTTGTGCTATTTCAACAAGTCAAATATCAAAATGTTCAGCTCATTCAGGAGAAGGGTGCTATGACTTATTGTATTGGTGAAATTTTAGCCTTTTCATTATTTAGCCTTTTCTGCCACTTTTTATTTTATTTATTAGGAAAATAACTGAGCTCATTTTACATCCTTCACATCTTTAGATGTGTTTACAACCTTTTACTGCTCCATTCACATGTTGTTCTGGTTCAGCTTCTTTCAGCTTCCTTGTGCAAATTTAAACATTTTCCAGCTACTTTCATTTAATTTCAGCTATTTCATTTTTTTTAGCCATTTTGTTATCCTTTTAGATTATTTCTGCTAACTACAACATTTTTGTGGTTTTTCTGACTTCCTTCTGCTAATTTCAGCTTATTATGCTCCTTTCAGCTTTTTCTGCAATTTCAGCTACTATTTGGCTGTTTTATGCTAATTTGAGCTTTTTCAGCTCATTCCACATTTTTGCACTCCTTTCAGCTTTTTTTAGTCTAATTCAGCAAAAAATGTGCTCTCTCCACTTCCTTCTGCTAATTTAAGCTTCTTTCTGCTTTTTAAACTACCTTTCAGCTGTTTTTTTGTTAATTTCAGCTATTTTCAGATAATATCCACTTCTTTGTGCATATTTCTGCTTCTTTAAGCCTAACTGGGCAAACATGTTCTTTCTGCATTCTTCAGGTAACTTAAACTTGTTCCACCTTTTCAGCTACCTTTTTAGCATTTTTTTTTAGTTAATTTCAGCTGTTTCATGATAAATTCAAGTTTTTTTTATGGTTAAGTTCTGCTACTTTCAGCCTAATTAACGTCTTTATGCTAATTTCAACTTGTTACGCCTACCAATTGCTTGTTACTTGTTCAGCTTTTTTATCCTAGTTTAAGTTGTTTCAGCTATTATTTAGCGGTTTTATGCTAATTTTAGCTTTTTCAGCTAATTTTTTTTAAAATTTTCAGCTCATTTCGGTTCTTTCCACTTCCTTCTGGTAGTTAAACTTCTTTTTAACTTTTCTGCTACTTTTCAGCATTTTTTTTGCCAGTTTCAGCTTTTTTTTAGCTACCGTGATTTCTTAAATTTTGTGCTAATTTCTGTTTATTTAAACCCAATTCAGAAAATATGTGTTCTTTCTGCTTTCTTCTGCTAGCTTAGACTTGGTCTTCTATTTCAGCTACATTTCAGCTGTTTTTAGCTAATTTCAACTGTTTTTCAGCAAGTTCAGCAATAAGCACTCACACTGCATTTTCACAGGAAATGCGATTCTACTTAACTGTTACATTCTTTAACTTGGCACACAATGCTACCCACGGTGAACATTTAGCCACACTTACAAAATGAACACAGGTTTCCCACATGGTGACATTTTAAACTAACACTATAGAAGCTAAGCAACAAAACAGTGCAGACCGAAGCCAAACTGCACTCAATCGGCTGCGATAAATCAGTGACTAAAACACCAATAGCCAGTGGAGTGGAAGTCCACACGGAGGGAGGACACATGTAAAAGCACGGGGGGAAGACTGATGGCTTGACAGCATCTGCAGACAGGCAGAAAGCGAGGCTGACAGGTGACGAGGTGTAGATCCCAGTTACCTCTTCCTCCGAGCTGACCCACTGCACTTTGTCATTGTGATAAACAACACTTGCACAACACAGCATGTTTCTGGGGGCGTGTTCACTGCAGAATTTTCTTGTTAACAAGACACTTGAGAAAATAGGCTTAAATAAAGGCGATTGTCGATGTGCGCATGCTTTTCGTGCAGCCATACGTTAAGAAGGATGGTTGTGTATGCACGCAGAGGGCCTCATTAATCCACAGTCATGCACTTCTGAAAAGCTGCTTTTAGCTTAAGCTGATAAGTTTAATTAAGGTCTTTTTTTTTACTGTAAAATAATAGATGAGTTGACAACAAGAAAGGCCAGAATTTCAACAACGCTGTTCTTTCAGACTGCTCTGTGCGATGAAGGAAGCCCTGCAGTAGTTTGATGAATGCATGTTTGCATGTTTGCATGCAGTTGGTCTGAAACATCATGGATTGGACATGTGGATGAGTTTTTCTTTGCATGAACGTGTAAGTTTAATTTAGGTGGTAAGTATTCGGGGTTGCAGCTTGGTTTTGTTTTCAGTTTTTTAATGCAAACTAACACCAGGTGTTTAACATTAACCCTTGAGCACAACATGTTGGTATGCACTTTTATTGTTAAGAGTTATAAACAGTTATAGACATGTTAAAATTATGTGACCTTAATGTACAACTTCGATTGGAATGATTTAACAATTTTCCAATCAGTTTACACTATGGGTAAAACGTTGTAGGTTTGTTATTTCTTTCAAACAAGTAAGCAACTGTATTTTCAGGTATGCTGCTGACATTTTGCAGTCCCTCTGTTTCAATCTGGTTGTTGAGCTCGGCTCCCCCCGACACAGTAAACTCAGCTGTCAGTCAAATGGATTTACCTGCAGCGTTCCAGACTCACAAAAAAGCCCAAGTGTGTTGCAAGGTTCACTTTATTGTAAATATTGTTGCCTTACAGATAAAAGTCTTGGATATTGCGTAACTGACTGCTCTTTTTTGTCACATGCTTCTTGATTGAAGTGAGGGGTCTCTGCTTAACGAGAGACATTTCCAGATATGTGATTTGAATGCTCTACTGTGCAAAAGTCTTGAGTCGTCCCTTATTTGTTAAAATTTTGCTTCCATGTCTGGGTTAGATATTCCTTTTGAAAACATATTTACGCAGATAATTACTTTCATTTTCACTGCGCTCGCCAGGCGCAGTGTGTCCTTCCTACATGTGTGTGTTTATGTGTGATCAGGGTGGTACCTCTGGCTGCTGGCCCTTGCAGTTTTTGCAGACAGGTGGCGGAGATGAGTAGTGGTGGAAGACAGAGCCGGAGAGGTTGTCGATCATCAGCATCTCCCCCTCTAACGTGTCCTTGATTAGGAGAGATACGCTGTCCAACCACTGGCTCTCCTGGAACACATACACACGCACATACACACACGCATACATACACGGACACAAACGCACACGGGACGCAGGCCGGCAGACCCAGAATGCACGCAGGCGCAAACATGTGCACATGCGGACATGCGAGAACAAAGAACACGTAGGGGAAATGCATACACCATCGAAAGGGTTATTAGAGTGCCCGGGGGCACACGTAGACAGGCTTTTGCCACTTCCTATCTGTTTACAAAACACACATGGCCATTCATGACTATATTCACACCTGCAGAATAAATGATGCATTACTGCATTTAAGAAAGAGGCATCTTAAAAACTTTGTCAGAGATCATGTCCTGATCAACTAGGGCTGCACAATATATCAATTTATTGTTGTTGTAATATCAGTATGTGCAGTATCAGTAATGAAATGGAATACTTGATCTACAGTAAAGTTGGATGGTCTCAATGCAGCGGTTCTCAAACTGGGGTCCCCGGACCCCCAAGGGTCCGTGAGCCTGTGCTTGGGGGTCCACAAATTAAAAAAAATAAAATAATTATATATATATATAAATATGTATTCATTCATTCAACCTTTATTTAAAGAGGTTAGTCCCATTGAGCCATGAGGACTCATTTACAAGAGACCTGAATATATAATTTTTACAAGCACATAGATGTTTAACATCCCATTAAAATACAACAAAATGCAGGAAATCACATCTACTTTATTCAAAATTTTCTGGGGGTGGACCCCCCACACCCCCGCTCAGCCGACCCGCCTACTGTTTGCGTTCCATCATCCATCAGTTTACAAATTAAGTCCTGTTACTTGGTATGACTACTGCAGTTGTGATTCTGTTCAGTTTTATTTAAAGAGTTTTCTGTAATAATTTGAAGAAGTGGCAATGCATTTATTATGTTCATTAAGTGAATGGGTAAAGTTTTAAAGTGGTTTTTGATGCTGTTCATTTTCTTAAAACTGTAATTTTTGGAAGATGAAATTAAAAACCTTGTTAATTACCCCATGTTTAAAAGTATAAAAATTTGTATTAACACTATTAAAGAACAGCTCTGATGTATTTATATTACACAAATATGTCCATTGCATTAAAGAGGCAAATTGAAGAAAATTACTTAATAAACATGAGGGTTATGAGGGGGTCCCTGAACCCAAAAAGTTTGAGAACTCCTGTCTTAATGCCCTTGTTGCGCTCACTTGTTTAAAAAATGTGACCAAGATCCTAAAACCCATGGGCTGTATAAAAAATGTTGTTCACTCACTACATCACTGACACTATATAGATTAAATAGAGTACAAGTGGCAGCACAGTGCTTGTATCTTAGACTACTTGAATGTGGTGTATGTACTAATTACTTGCAGAGTAACAGTTAGAAATGAATGCCAACAAGATTCACTGGACTACTCTGACTCCAGACCTCTGCTGGTTTCAGCTGAGAAAACATAATTAACATATTCTGTCCCTGTAACACCTCTATACAACTGATTTACACGCGCCTGCTACATGTTTTTGTTGCTAAGGCTCACCGCCGACAGGTGGAGGATGCGGACACTAATGTTTTTGCCAAACTCAACACATGTTCATGTGTCTTTTAGCAACATGTTGTATGAACCACTCAACAAATTTTAACGAAACTTGCAGAAAGAAATAATTGAATAGTGACCGGCTAACACAAAAATGTAACTCAGTCAGTTTGACAGATATTGGACCAAAATAAAAATAAAAATAAAAAGACAAACCAAAAAGTGAGAAATATTTTGTGAAATTGATTTTGGTACTGCATTATTTACCAATAATATTGCGATGAAGATATTAGTCTAATATTGCGCAACTCTTTAACGAAATGGAACAAGTCTTCTTAAATTAGTTTTAGGGCTGAGCACTTCGAAAACCATTGACCTGAATAATAAAAACCCTACAACTCATTAGTCAACTAAGCCATAATTTCACTATCAAAGCCTTGAGCACAGAGTGTGGAGCAATTACATTTGATATATCGCCTCAATTAGGCTGTTCACTATGTTGTTGAAATGACTTCAGATTTTAAGCATTTGCTTTCTCCTATTGGTTTTATCAGGTTTAAAGTAATTTCGATCGAAGCAGTTCGAGTTTTTCAAAAGTACTTTATAGGATTCCTGCTTGCTTGAATCTCACCTGCCAGATTTGTTTCTGGGAATGTCTGGCAGGAAAAGAAAACTAAATGGAAAATTTAAAAAAGCAGGAAACAACTTGTAAAAGATGATTGTGTTTCTTGCCATAGTGCTTGTATTTCTTGATGAATTGAACACATTGTGTCTGTATCACACTCGTAACAGCTGGACTGGCTGCATTACATCAGCAGATATTTCCCAAAAGATGCTGTGAAATAAGGCCATAACTCTTCAATCCGCCACATAACCCTGTTTTTTTCCTCAACACAATTCTGCCACCCTGTTTATTCAACTATACTGTACTTGTATGTGTTATGCAAACACAATCTCATATGACTCATATGGCTTTATTGCATTTAGTCTTAGCTTATGCTTTCGAAACTTGGAATAAGAATTCAATAGCCAACTTACCGCCCAGCAGCACAAATATACAGAATCTGACTCTGCCGAAGTCGGCTCAGAATATGAACGTTTAAAAATACATACACACTCTTTTTGTGTCTTGCTCCCACAGACAGGCCCAAGATAGTCCTGTATGTGTAGATGGAGAGCCTAATAAAAAAGTAATGTTTGATAGAGTGTGGTGGCCTGTATGCTGGCCCCCATTAATAACTGTATTAGTGGACAACAATAGGGCTCGTCTACAGGGAATAGGAGTTTAGAGTAAGAGAGGAAAGAGCTGAAATTAATTACTGCCTCTATCTGACTGTCGCTGGCTCGGCCATTATCTCTCCTCTCTTGTGTGTGTGTGTGTGTGTGTGTGTGTGTGCGTGTGTGTGTGTGTGTGTGTGGACATCCTGCAGTATCTTCTTTTGTGCATATTTTAGTAGTGTTTCACCATACAGCTAAAAAGACCAAAACCCCCAACAAAAACATATTAAGCTGAACTTGAGTCGTTCTTCAACTCTTACAGCAACATGCATAAATTTGGACACCGGCTGGTTAAAAACTTAACTTTAGATCAAAATGAACATTTTTATCCTTCTCAGTTTCAGGGTGGATAAAGCTGCAGAAGTTCTATGCAAAAGTAAGGACACCAAAGGATATGATCCATAAAAATAACCTTTGCTGATGTCCCTAAATATGCATCTGTAATATGTTCATATATAGCAATTTTAAATAATGAATTCAGTGATGGCTACAGAGCAGGAGAAAACTAAATGGGATTGTCAGTTTAGGCACCGTATTTTCTGCCGTACATGTTGCACCGCCCTATAAGTTGCATCGGTCCAAATATGTCTATTAAAGTGGAAAAATCCATAAATATGTCACTTCTCCGTATACGTCGTATCTATTATGCGTCACCACTGACAACCCGGAAATGTGGGCTGGCGTTGTGCCAAAAATTGATTGGCTACCAAATGGCGGCTGTGGGAGTGTGCATGGGAGGACTTTAAAAAGAATTTAACAAGATTAAGACTTAAAAACAACTATTTGTTGGCTCAAAATTATAGTAAATGTGTGTCTCAGTCTAACTTTTGCTTAATAAATGCACATGGACGGTCAAATCAGCTGCATTTCAAAAGCTGATACGCGGAAGTGGGCACGCACAGAAGGACAAGCCTCTGCGCATCGCTTCGAAATTTAACAAGACCTAAAAACATTTACTTGTTTGCTCGAGATTATAGTAAAGGTGTGTCTCAGTCTAACTTTTGTTTCATAAATGCTCTTTGACGGCCAAATCAGCTGCCTTTTCAAATGCCGATAAGCGGAAACATGAACGCGCAGAGGGCGACTCGGTCCATTTTTTCAAAATTTAACAAGATAACCATCTAAAAACAATTAGTTGTTACATCAACTTTATAGTAAAGGTGTGTCTCAGTTGAACTTTTACTTAATAAATGCATTTTGATGGTCAAATCAGCTGCATTTCGCCGGGGTGGCGCAGCAAAACTAATCTGATTCAGTTGCCCTAGGTAGATGACGGTGGCAGACTTTGGCAAGCAGATTGTGTCATTAATAGCCATGTTTACCTATTATATGACACAACAGCGTGCCTTACTACTCGAGTGCCATCTAGTGGTTGAAAAATGGTAGTGTTTAATATTTTCAGTCAGAATGAATGAAAACAGTCATATCTCAACCAAAAATTGGTTTATAAATATGGGAAAAAAAATCCATAAATACGTTGCTTCTGCTTATAAGTCGCAGGGCATGCAAATTATGCAAAAAGAAACCCAACGACTTATAGGCCGAAAGATACGATAAGTGTTTTCTCAGTTCATAAATTAACTGAGACATCACAGCCATAGAAGATGTCACGTTAGTGTTGGGAAAATGGAGAATGATGCTAGAAAGGCAAATTACATCTCCTGTTGGGCCACGGAAAAGGTTGGGGAATACAGCACAGATTGTGTTGTGGTTGTGCACTGTTGAAGCGTGCAGCAACACTCGCACAAACATGACCTTCATGGACGAGTTGTCAAGGAAAACACTTTACCGTCCTCTCACCAGAAATGAACTATATGCACATTAGGAAGGAGTTTTCATACTGATGAATCTAAAACTGATTGTTTCAGTGAGAAAATAAATAAGTCTGGTCTGTTATTGGGTGAGAAGGATTGCTGAACTTTGATCTCTGGGAACCGATGGATTAATATTTGAGGTTGAGAAGCAGTAGCAAGACAAACACTTCCTCGATATAGGAAGTAAACATTTTAGTGTCTATAATATTGTAATATAATAATATCTGAATTTACTTATCTTTATCTGATGTCTACGGTAAATTAGATTAACACAACAATTTTGAGCAGGTGTGCCCAAGTTATGCATGTCACTGTAATTTCTGCGTTCACATCTAAAGCATATACAGCATACTGTACAGGTCTTTATAATGTTTCACAAAACATCTGTC